TTTCCTCCCTCAGCCCCTGCCCTCAAATTCCAAACAGAAAAACACAGCTTACCACACACACACACACACACACACACACACACACACACACACACACACACACACACACACACACACATGTGAGCTGCCAGGTAATTCTCAGTTTCCTCCTTGTTTTTTATCATCTTCATCTTCAGACATTTCATCCTCTGGCAGGCATATTTACTTTCTTTCACCCTTTCCTTCTCCTGTCCCAACCTTTTCCTTTTCGTCACCCTTCTTAATTAAACTTCCCTTCCCCTCTTGCGCACTCTTTCCCTCTCAGCAAAAAGCAGCCTCCATATGGTTATGATCATCCTTCGCTTTCTTATTTTTGCCCTCCTAGAACATCGCCCATTATTCAGCCCTCCTACTTCCCTCCTTCCCTATTAGCTGGAGCGTATAACTCTGTGGGAAGCTGTTTGATCCCATATTTGCTGCTCTGCCTCTCACTACTCAGCAGAAATGTGCCGACCACCAACCGCAGCCCCATTAAACAAATAGATACAAGTTCATCCCAATTTGATGACACATACATTTAACCCTCAATCTGTAATCAGTACTTCTCAATATTGCTATGTGCAATCTACAGCACATTTAAAATATATACTGTGTCATATTCCATTCAGGGTTTACAATGGTGCTTTGAGCTAAATGCTAACATTGACATGCCATGCTCACAATGACAACAAGCTGATGTTTAGCAGTTTATGTTTAGCAGGGAAGTTTACCATGATGGTCATCTTAGTTTAGTGTGTTATCTTGCAAAACTTTGCTAAAACAAAAAGCACTAAACACAAAGAATGACTGAGGCTGATAGGAATGTCATCATTTTGCAGGTATTTGGTCATAAATCAAAATATTGGACGAAAATGAAAGGGATCACCAAAATGATTAAAATTCATCCTACTGTGAACATGAATGTTTGTACCAAATTTCATGCAATCCACCCAAATGTTTCATTCAACTCAACAAATGTCAACCTCATGGTGGCGCTGGAGTAAAAGTCGGCAGATCACGAAAGTCAGTTTTTAGTTAGTTTCAGAGTGTGCTTGCTGGTTTTAGTTTAGTTTCAGTTTTTATATATTTAGTTCTAGTTTGTTTTTGTTTGGCCAGTTATGTCTCAGAGGTATGTAGCTAAGTATGTAGTGTAACAATGGCCATGATATGTAATCTGTTATTTTTGCGGCTGCTTTCGTGTCCGATGTAAAGCAATTGCAGCATAGCGCCATCTACTGGAATGTCAAGTCTCTTCAATTTCAGTGGTTCATGTTCCCACGGAAATTCATGCCGTCTACTTTTTTGGTATTGATGCATATTATTGCTAAAAAACTAAAACAAATTCATGTTTATTTTTAATTTTATTCTATTTTTATTGGTTTTCTAACAGGCAATATCATTTCAGTTTAGTTTTTCTGAAAGGATGTCGTTTATATCTAGTTTCAGTTTGCTAACAATATTTTTCACTGCTAATTTTAATTTCAGTTTTAGTTTATTATAACAGCCTTGTCTGGAAACTGTGGATGTCACCAAAGTCATTATGGTTCATCCTCTGAGATCAATGGATATGTGTACCAAATTAAATGATCAATGATTTGGTTCGAGCAACTGAAAAATATGTTCATCTTCATCTTAACAACAACACAAGCTTTGTCTATACACCTCTGATGGAGGGCTGATAACATTTACCTAAACCACAAAACGTCATCACTGGAAGCAAAATCCCATTCTTTAGAGAAAGATGATTCCTCTCTCTTCTCCATCCAGATCTAAATGCTCTGCTTAAGCAAGCAGTGGTTTGGACAGGATACTGAGAGAGCAGGATGTACTCCATTTCTAAGAATCGCCTGCTCACTTTCATCTTCCACGCCGGCTGTGAGATCGGATTTTAAATTGATTTAGCATTGTTTTAGACACCCAGCTTAAAGAGCTGTAGTTTTGCTGGTATAGAGCAATACCTCCATGGAATACCTACATTACTCTATATTATATAATCAAGGCCAGGCAGGAAGCCAGGACTTGAACACATAATACAGTATGTGAGCCAACAGCAAAGAGTATTAGAGCTTTCTACTAAATATATTCAGTTTGATTAAAAGCCTCCACCAGAGGATTCAAAAAAACGTTCCAAAACAGCAAGTATTGATTAAAATCTAATAACAAAAGCCATGTATTTAGTTCTGTGATTATGTTTTAAAGAACAACACAATCCAGCGAGCCATGTCGTGATTAAGAGGGTGGTAGATACGTGCTCTGACTGGGCTCATAACTGATGTGCATCTTTCCAACGGATGGCGACAACAACGTTTTGAAGTTACAGCATCGGCTGAATAGCAGCTGCCAAAAAGAAAAGTTGGCTAAAGGTCACATAAGTTGCAGTGCATAACAGCTAATCAGTGTGTGTGTGTGTGTGTGTGTGTGTCTGTGTTTAAAGTGCATTTATCATTTAAATCAGTGATGTTGACTTTAGTACAAAAACATAACAGCACTTCACACAGTGCACCATCAGTCATATCTGATTGTGTCCCTGTTAAACACAGCCTCGGTGCCTCAATTTAGCAACTCGCTGAAGAAGACTGTGCTGTTAAGAAGTGCTAATACCATGTTGCTGTAATGCCCTGGGACTAGCCAACATTTGAGGAACGATGTTGACTGTCTATATAAAGAGCTTAAGTGTAAGGGGCTTATGTGACTATATGTAACCTCACACAGAGCAAACTGGAAACAGATAATCCAAGAGAGACAGAAAATAAGATTATCTTGTCTTGAGTTTGGATAGTATTAAATGTAAAATGGAAATACAGGCCTATGTACAGTAGCTATACGCCATATAACAAACAAACAAATGCATCACAATGATCATCAGAAATGATGGTAATCAGTTAATTCAACTTCTGACTTGAATCACATCATAAAAATACAGTGTATAAAGACAATATATTCATATTCTATCAGACATCATGCTCTGATGCATTAACTAATTTCACACAGTTAATTAATAACTGTCTAATAATTACACTAACCTTAAACCTGTCTTTACCCCAAGAGGCCTGAGAATAAATATATCGCCAGTGTCTCTTTAGCGTTAACAGAACGTGTCAGTTAACACGACAAATCAACTGAGGTGTGAAGCTTTCAGGCAGAGCGGTTTCTCACCAATGTGGTTTGGTTTGTCCAGTGAAGCGCACAGAGGCTGTATCAGAATTACTGTAAATGCCAAGAATAGAATACACAGAATAGAAGATGATAGAAGCTTTCAGGTTATCTATTATAGACAAAACAGAATTGGTAAGTTGACTACAGAGCAGCCAGAGAATGCTAATGATTGGAAAGGCCTTACATGTATTGACTCTATTATCTTGTTATGGACCTGGCACATATGTTGAGAGCCCAAATAGGAATGAGGTTAGGTTTTGTGATTGTCAATCTCTATGGATACACCTTTAAAAATCGATATTCAAAGCTAAATTCAAGACTCACATTATAAACTCACACACAAATACCAGTAACACAGATGTCACCCAACTAAAGATATACGTTTTTCAAACTTTTTAAGACTTTTTTAAGACTGCTTTGTTTCTTTTTAAATTCTGCTTCGAAAGTGTGGGAATAGAAGTTGAAAAGCCTGAGCAATAAAGAAGAATGATTAGCGGAGCACCTTTAATGTATTAAACGCCTTAACGTTATATTGCCTGTGAACTCCTGGCAGATGATCCGGCGAGGTTATGTACAGCAGTGCTGTCTAGTCTGGGCAGCTTTAAAGAGATCTCAAACCTTGCCCTTATATGACAGTTGAAGGGAGTCCAACACACATATCCAACAAACTAATTCATTATCCTCGACTGCGGTGTGACAAGCCCTCCATAAAACCCTTCATCCAGCTCCCTCATTAATCAATCAATTACAGCTGACTGAGGAGGTGAGAAGATCCTCCACCAATCCATTAGATTTACCTCCATCGCTCCTTGCGTGTCAGTGGATCACCTAAAAGTCACTGCCAATGAATGTGGGTCCTTTGAGAGTCCTGGGGCTAAACCTGTGCCTCCTACCCAGATGACAACCTTAAACAGTGGAATTGATTGGCATGATGCCTTTTTTTACTAGTTGGAAAGCCTTGTTGCTTGTACAGCAATAAGTCGGCAGGTCACTTAGATTTCTGTAAACCTGCCATGAGCACAGATTGCACAAAGCTTGGTAGAGGAGCCATCTGTCGTCCCAGCTATAGCATAACAACCAAAGTCCAGCTAATACCACTCTAGTCCTGTCTAAGCTATAAGAAAGGAAGTCCTTGAACATTCACGAATCCTCCATGTATAAGACAATCCTCTAATCTTAGTGAGGCTCAAATAGCATCCCGCAGCTTGAAACAAAGAAGTTAAATATATATTTGATCACTGAGCCACAAAAAACTATATTTCAAGCAAGTGTTTACAATCATAGACTTTGAGAAAGGTTTCCCCTCCAGGTCTACTAATGTCAGTGGACAGTTTGCCATTGTACCCACCGTTATTCAATAGATAGGCTTCCATAAAAAAGCCTGTTTTTTTAACATTTACTGAGTGATATTAAAAACGATGTAGAGCTGGGTGTTGTTTAGTCATGATCTGGGGTGGCTGATTTCATTCATTTGAATATGGAGGACAGTATGTGCAAAATGCCAAGTGCTCAATATTGTTCACGTCCTGCTGCACATGAACATGGGGAGGGGAAAAAAAGACAGACAAAGACCAAGTGACCAAGATAGTTTCCCTCCACGGCCTGTTGATTGCACTTTGTTTTCAAAACTGCCCACGTCTCTGAGCTTTCGAAGTCACACACACAGCATTATTTTTACACATGAACACTAGTGTTCTAATTAATTAATCAGATTTTCTCTAAAACAGCCGTCTTTGTCAGGCTGGGTAAGCTGAGGGGAGGGTTCCAGGGTTGGGAGGTCACAGTATAAAAGCAAACGGGAGGCAATGATTGACACTCGCTCACACGACACGGTGACGCATTACAGAAGACAGCAGTGAGGACTGAGGGCACGGTAAGTGAGCGGCTTTCTCTTGCTGACCAACGTTACACACAATATAAATATATTGAAATGATAGAATGATATTACAGTTACAGCACAGAGGAGCATTTACTGAAGATGTGTCACTGCTGTTACTTTACAGGAACATACGCTTTGAGCACTCAAACTATCAATGAGATTGTGCAGAGTTTGAGAAATATTGTTTCTTTATTGTTTTAGTTAAATCAATTGTAAAATCATACAGGTACTCTTTCTATTAGGTAGTTATTAAGAAATTCTGATTGTCATTATAACAATAATGAGTGAACTTCATCAGTGGTCTTTATGATTTGAATTTAAAAAACAGTAATGACACATTCTTCTAAAATAAATCCAACAATAAACTACAAATGACATTTAATCCAAAGATAACCAGTGGACCCTAGTCATAGATGTATCTGTATCAAATGGTTTGGTAACGCAGCCTTTTCATCTTTTTTATTTGCAGACTGGATCCATAACTTTGCTATCAAAATGTCAAAGTGAGTATTAAGAGTTTTGACTCATTTGCTTATTAATTCAACAGCTATCCTGAAATGTTAACTGGTTTACATTTGAGGTTAGAATTCACACCTTTTCCTGTCAATTTCAGGGCATTAAAATGTCACAAAAAAGACATTTGTTGAAGCTGAATCCTCTCAAACCCTAACACAGTGATCATTTATGCATGTCTCAAAATGAAATACCAAACATTAATCCTTTAATTTGTGTGACTTAAGTTAAATTCACTTTGATATTGTTTTTTAATAAACAGATACTCGACTCATTCGACAGAAAGAAGAAAGGCACTGTAGCCATGCAGGGATCAAAGTCGATAGTAACTTCACAAGAAAGAAGCCCGGTGGCTCTTAAGTAACAATTTCACATCTCGGCAGAGGCACGCGTCTCTAAGACTCCTCTAACACTCCAGTCCTCCAGGATATGGATAATTCCTGATTAAGGTGGATTGTGAGGATGAGACCTTGGAAGAGAGATTTATAAGATAAAGGAAAGTTTTAACAGGATTACTTGGAAGACATCGAAAGAAGCGAACACCACCTGTTTCATGTAATGCTAGGAATCTTTGGAGAGATTCACACATTCACACATTTGCCAAGAAATATTCAACATTCATCATTACAGGTCAATTCGCCACAGGAATGTAGGATTAATCCGAGAGATTTTTAAGGATATGAGTCTAATAGTCAATTCAGCACCCATGTAAGGAATTTATAAACAAAAATCTGATTAAATTAATACTAATTTTTCATTTAATATATGTTACCAAGTATAATGTATTGATTTTTGAAATCACAATTATGTCTTATGTCCAGATTAGACACCTTTCCATTCTGAGGGGGGGGGGGGGGTGTGACCAAATTTCTGAGGTCTTGTGTTTTTCAGTGAGGCCCAAAGTGTTAAAGAATTAAATAATCCACTGCTTTTTTTTCCTCGCTTTTCAGGGTATATAAGAAGACCAGCGGCAACGGACATGTAAGTGGAAGTGGCCTCTGTAATATAGTCATTATAAAGCAACCCCTTGGTCATAGGGAGGAGTGCATTTTGTGTGTAGCTATTCCAACTCCCAGAAATAACTTCCAAACTCTGGAAACCTTGGCGGAGGAGTAACTGTATCCATTTCTCCGTCTCTCTCAGATTGCCCTGTACTTGGGGAAGAGAGACTTTGTGGACAATGTGGATTCAGTGGAAGTAGTTGGTGCGTGGCACAATGTCTGTTTATACATCCTGAAATCTGCACACATACAGTCGATGTGTCTCTGTGTGATCTAATGCTAAGGCCTTTTCCTCTCCTTTGCAGACGGTGTCATTAAAGTGGACCCTTCAGGTCTTGGCGGGAAAAAAGGTATTTCCATCTGATTCGCTGTCAATGACTAAAGTTATAGTTCCTAAATTCACGCAACACAAAGACAACCCTGAATATATCTCTTTCCATTGCAGTATTTGTCTACCTTGCTTGTGCCTTCCGCTATGGAAGCGACGACTTGGATGTTATCGGGCTGTCCTTCAGGAGAGACATCTGGATACAGCGCGTTCAGGTGTATCCACCGACAGGTGCAACCACAGCCAAAACACCAATGCAGGAATCCCTCATGAAGAAAACTGGAGAGCAAGGATGTCCATTTTCCTTCCAGGTGAGGAATTATAACTTTTCATACAACATATTAACTGTCCTTCGGAGAAACATTAGATTGATCAACCACATATCATTACTTCACCTTTACTTTTCGGTCATCTTCTTGAAGTGTTATTTATTAATGTGCCTTGTTTCTACTCGTTTAAGATGCCATCAAATCTGCCATGCTCAGTCTCCCTGCAGCCTGGGCCAAATGATGCTGGCAAGGTACCACTCTATCACTTTTCCCTCACTCTTATATACTACTCTAAATGCCTGACAAACAAAGACTTTATTCGGGTCTTGTTCTGTTGTAGGCTTGTGGTGTGGACTTTGAGGTTAAAGGATACGTTGCCAACACAGCAGATGAAGAAGTTGAGAAGAAGTATGAATGCCCACAGTCCAACCATTCTGTCAGCGCAATCTTGTGTTGCATTAAAGGACATATAGAAGGGTTAACCCTGACTCTCTTTGCCTGTGTTTTTCATGGTTTTAGGGACACGTGTCGCCTGATGATTCGCAAAATACAATTTGCACCAGCTAACAACAAGCCTGGACCCAAGGGTGATATAGCAAAGCAGTTTATGCTGAGTGACAAGCCTGTTAACTTGGAGGCCTTCCTTGAAAAAGAGGTACATTGAAGTGTACATACTATATTTTGGCATAATATATATACAAAACTAATGCTATAATTATTCAGACTAAAATGTTTCTTATTTATTTAGATTTATTACCACGGAGATCCAATCACCGTCAATGTAAAGATCAACAACGAAACCACCAAGGTTGTGAAGAAAATCCAAATTTCAGGTGAGCAGCAAGGAAAAGATAAACACTTGACTGAAGTTAAATTCCTAAAAGATGGTGTTTGTGTATAGCTTGTGAGAGAGGGAGGGAGGAGAGAAAAAGAACATAAGTAAGGGATAAAGTATCCGTGTAAAGTGTGTATGTGTATATGGTAAAGAGTCAGACATTTTAACTGATAATCTAACAAAGCTATTTCTTCTTTTAGTTGAGCAGCAGGCAAGTGTGGTGCTCTACTCATCTGATACTTACACCAAGGCGGTCTGCTCCGAGGAGTTTGCGTAAGTAAGGCTGTCACTGTATCAAAAGAGGCTTATTATGCTTATTGAGATTCAATTTAATGAATTTATGAATTAGCATTTTCTGATAAATTAAATATCTGTAAATCCTTGTTAAAAATACATTCTCACCTCCCATTAGATAAATTCAAAACAGCTTTTACTGAAAAAAACGTTTTGTCATTGTTACATCTCAGTATGGATTGAGGAAAACTTTAAACAACACAGATAATGTCTGTTAAACGTGCGTTATTATTTCTTTCTTTCTTTCTATATTTCACTACATTACACAGGGAGACAATTGACGCCAACTCTTCATTCGAGAAGTCCTTCCAAATAACCCCCCTGCTGGCCAACGCCAAAGAGAAGCGGGGTCTTTCAGTAGACGGCCGGCTAAAAGACGAGGACACCAACCTAGCATCCACTACCCTGTAAGCCACAAGTCTCTCATCAATGGGCTTATTGTGTGCCCAGGACTCTACATTGTGTCATCCACTTATCATGTCTTAGACCAAATCCTCAAGCTCTGAAAGCTCAACTATTCCTGTCTCCTCACAGGAGTCAAGGAGAAAAGGAGATGCAGGGAATCATCATCTCCTATAAAGTCAAGGTCAATCTAGCGCTGGGCGGCGGAGGGTAAGGCTCAACTGAATATAAAATATTTATGCATGATACTTCAAATTGTGTAGACTAAAGGTTTATTTTATTGTGCTCTCTCTCTCTCTTTCACAAAAAGCCTGCTGGGTGGCTTAACAGGAAGGTAAATATTGATCGTCTTTCATCTGTGGTCACATGGTATTAGTGTGAGTAATATATAAATTCCTATTCTGTATATTTTTCATGATAAAACTTTGTTTCTTTGTCATTTTCAGCGATGTCACTTTGGAGCTTCCTTTGACTCTGATGTCCCCAAAACCTGCAGGTGAGTGCAGTCTTTTTTAATATGATTGCCATTTAAATGCTTCCTGAAACAATCCACTTGAACAAAAAAGACAGCATTGATTAACTATTGACTATACGTTAAATGTCATGTCCTCTCCTTCTATTCATTTACTGCATGTCATCGCTGTATCCTGAGCAGAAGTGTAAGTATAAACTAGTCTCTCTGAATGTATGAATGTATTCACCCGTGGCTGTGATGTGTGTAACATGCTGCTTCTGTTATATTCTCCCCTGTGTATTTAATGAACCACAGCCAGTTGGATTAAACCCCTCACTAGTTCAGGTGAGGTCACCTCCACGTTAGTGCATTTTACAATGTTCACTTCTTCAAGGGCTACAGCGCATGTCTTCGCTATGAAATAAATACCTAATCTGAAAACTGCGATGTTAGATAAAGTTCATGACAGAACGATCAAATGATTGTTTCATTTGTATGACAAGCATTTCCAAAGCAAAGGTTAGCACAAGATCTGATGGCCCTTGAATAAGTGCACTGTTTCACCCTAGAACCTTATTGCATTTGTGTGAAAGATTCCATTTGAACCCTTGCTGCTCCACCTCCAAGATGTTTTTTTTTGTTACATCATCCAATGGCAACTAATTGAGATGTTGTACTATTACTGTATGCATTAGATACAGAGACCATATTATCCATATGTAAAAAAATTGTAGTCTGCATTATGTTGTAAAAAAATCACAGTTGCAGTTGCTGTATATAAAATGAGATGAAATGCATTATGCGAGTTATCTTGTAATGTAATGTTGGACTCACAGAATCAGCTGTTTGTCCGTTTCATGCCAACAGGTCAGAAATCTCAATTGACGCCATGGAGGGTTGAGATGACCAGCGAAGGAAAAATCACCTCTCTGACAGAGAATACAGAACAAAAAGGAACTCAACACCAATGAAGAAAAGCACAAAGTGTCATTTAATCACTAAAATTGTTCTTATTTCACCTGTACATATACATGTTCATTAGGTATTACCACAAGAGCTCAAAAAGAGTCACTGAAAAAGATCCAAAACTCTGTGTGACATTTCTCTGAATGCCAATATAGCATTGAATAGAAATAAACAAGTATTGTATATGTTTCTTTGTCAAAAGAAATGATTCGTAGACTTTTTTCTCGATGTGTTTTGATTACCAAACCTCTAATTATCCTTAATCTTTATTGCTGTCATTAGAGCCATGATATATTATTACTGAATGTGCAGCTGTGGGATAAATATCCCCATGCTACTTGTGTCACTATTTATTGACAAGAAAAGTTAATAAACTTATTGTTTTCCCCCAATTATTCGATTGTTTGTTTATTTTGCTCATGTTAATTTCAAGGCTTATATTTAATTTTTTTAAGCTGAGAATTAATCATATAACAAAGTATAAAAAAGATATATTTTAATAAAAAAAATATATTGTTAATAATAATTGTTATAACAAACGTGAAGGATAGCCTAATAAATGCCTTTTGTTATGAAAGCTCTTGGGATTAATCTGTTTATTTCGAATACAATAGTTCCACTTTTATTTTTATGCTAACTGTGTATATTTTATTTGGGACTAAAATTAACAACCACTGACACACAAACATTTGTGTCTCTGAAAAGTTGCTGAAAACTGCTGTGAGTCATACAGCTCAATATATTAGCTAGAAAATTAGCTATCTTCTTGCTGCACATTGATGTGGTTTAATGGACCAGGTGCTCTGTGTGACCCAAATAGAAAACCAACCACTAGTTTAGAGAGGCTTCCTCTTCATATGCTTCTTCCTTTTTCCATTTGCCCAAACAAGCACCAAACACACTATGTTACCTATCTTAGTAAAGGGCCATCACAACATCTACAGTCAGAGTAACTCAATTACATACAATACATAAATACATAGATCGATAGATAGATAGATAGATAGCCTATTAATCCCGCAAGGGGAAATTTGTTTGCTACAGCAGCATTATGATACAGGTAAGCAATTAAAGTAACAGAGTAAAAAAAAACAAATAGAGTATAATAATGCACAATATTTACAATAAAATAACAGAGTAAAAAATATTAAATATAAAAAAATGCACAGTATATACAATGAAATACAATAATATTTAATTAAAAATAAATTATTAAAAATAAATAATTATTATCATTAAATTAAAAACACTTTGTTCGCGGCATAAAACAATATAGTAATGTATCCTAATATAAATATGGACATGCAGTAACCATTACGTTACCATTGTTGTATCCCAGCAGTGGCCTCTTGGTGGCGCTGTTTCACTTTACGATTAAGAAAACAATAGCGCGAGCTGGAGCCGGATGAATATACACTACTCGCTCCTCTCCGGTCTAGACATCACATCATTACCCAAAGTCAGCTAACAGTTAGCAGTTTATTTTTTAGAACAAAATGTCAACCTCGACCGGCGGCGGAGAGTTTGGCAACCCTCTACGAAAGTTCAAGCTCGTCTTTCTGGGCGAACAGAGTGGTAAGAAGGACAAGGCGAACTCGAACCGAGTGATAATTTGGTCGGATGTGGGGATTATTTTAGAAGTGGCTAAAATTATCGTAGCGTTAGCTAGCTAGCTAGCTCCTCCTGCTAGTTTGCTGCTGGCTAGCAGGATAAAGTTATCCACCGGTCGTGAACAGACTAGTGATGATACAAAGCTACACGTTAATATTTCAGTATTCAATAGTGAGTACGATGACGAAAATATCAACGGATATAACGTTTTCTCCTCACTCGCGATGATGTCATTGTATGGCTAGCTAACGCTAAATATGTGAGCTAGCCAAAACATCTCGCTCTTTAACGTCATTAAATGCCGTTACCGTTTCATAACATAACCGTTTTATGACTTACCTACGTATTGGTTTGTTGCCTGACTTAAAGTAAGGGACACTGTCGTTAGACTGGTCATCAGCATCATCTAACGGTAGCTGGCTAACTACTTTTGGCTAAAGGCTAGCATTTGACGCTAGCTGTGCTAGGTTGAAATACTTCCATCAGTATCGTTCGCTAACGTTCACTAAAGCGGTTACTACTTTAATTGAAAGCACCAATGTTGCTTTCGGGACTTTAACAATTGTTGCCTTTAAACACGAGACTGCGCATACATCAAGGGAATTATCTAAATTCATCCGTGTATCTGTCATTGTAGCTGCTTTTCAACTCACTAATGCTAACTTAGCTGTTAGCTCTTTTTTTTTTTTTTTTTTACGGCAGCACCTTGCAGAGCCACGTCGGCCAGTGGGTCCAGACCAGTTGGCCTTTTACCATTTAACGACAGCTTTAATACTGACATTATTATACGTTATTATATTATATGGTTGATTGTGCAACATGGCAGTGACGTATCTCTCATCACGAAACAAATATAACAAGTCAAGCTATTTTTATTCCTCAAAATATTGTGGCTCCACCCATATTGCCACCTCAGCGTGTGGGTTCAGCAGTCCACATAGCATCAACGATTATAGCTGTTTACTCACCATGTGTTGTCACGGATGCATTGATTTTTTTTTCTCCTTCATATTATGCAAAATTAGAATGGATGTAATAAGGTATTTAATCTTAATTTGAGAGTTTTTTGTCTTGTAGATGATCTTTGATGACCAGGATCAAGTCTTAATGTGTCTGTTTCTGTGTTTTTCAGTTGGGAAAACCTCCCTCATCACCAGGTTTATGTATGACAGTTTCGACAACACTTATCAGGTAAAAACACATGTTACACACTGATTCAGAATTTGTGTGCCAAGGCACGGATTGATTATATTCATAATCAATATGTGGCGTGTTCCAAGAGACATTTGTCATATGACTTGTTCAGCACAAGTGTAATCAATAACATACATTAATCGTGACTGTTGATCTTCCAGATCCTTTGCTAGTGTGCATAATGACTTGAACAGAGCCATTGTTAATGATTTTAGATGATCATTTTTCTTCGATAGAGATGTCATGCATAATCAAGTATTGTGCCCGTACCAATGTTTTAATGCAGTGATTGTCTTACAGGCAACAATTGGCATTGACTTTTTGTCAAAAACCATGTACCTAGAAGATCGTACGGTAAGCCCTGTATATTTTATTGTAATTCATCATTCTCATTGGCATAGAAAAGCTTAAAGCATGCTTTTTATGTAATAGCCACCATTTATTTCCCTTTCACCATTTCACATTGTTTTCACATTATCCTAGATTTTACTATTCATTTTGTTTCGGCATGCGATCATGTTTCTAGCCTCCATCGTTATTTGAAGTTTTTGTTTTCCTTCCATCCCCTGGCTGGGTCATGAAATGCCCCCCCTCCTCCTCCCTCCCTTCCCACATTCATTTCACGGCTGGCCACAGATTCGGCTGCAGCTCTGGGATACAGCCGGACAGGAGCGTTTCCGCAGCCTCATCCCCAGTTACATCCGCGACTCAGCCGCTGCTGTGGTGGTTTATGACATAGCCAGTAGGTATCATGGCCTTGCCTCACTTCCTTGTCCTTCGCATAGAATGTGGAAGGGCAAAAAATTTAAAATAAAAAGCATTTACTAGCCGGGAAAATTCCACTGGACAGCATGATGAGAGTATATGCCAGAGTGTTTGCATCAGCCACAGTGATACTAATGCATTTCTCCAGCACTGTGCAGTGGGGTGTGTGCTTCCTAAATGCTTTACATATGAAGCTGATTTGAAGGAATAACAAAAAATGTCTCCCGGCGTCCCCTCATGGGCAGAGATCCTCTGAAACAGCCTATTAACGATTCACCAGGGCGTACTTTTACATGTCTTGTCAGCATAACGCTGGTCATCTCTGACCCTTCTGCATTTGGATGATTCTCCCCGTTCCTCCATTTAAAGGCCATTTCCATCTCTGCTGCTTGGCTTGCAGTTCCTTTTTATGACTGTCCTCTTCTCCTCTTTCTTGTTCTGCCTTCCCCCCCTCTTTATCTCCTTGTCCTTTTCTTCCCCCTCCGTTCCAATCCTCAGGTCCGGCTCCAGCTTTGGGACACTGCTGGACAGGAGCGTTTTCGTAGCCTAATTCCCAGCTACATCCGTGACTCTACCATTGCCGTGGTTGTTTATGACATCACCAGTGAGTCAGGGCTGTACTCTAACCTTTCTGTAGGGGCCTAGAGCAGTCGGAAGGAAGCTATCTTGGCATAGTTGCTACTTTATGTGCTTCTGCTAATAACCTTTTAGTTTATTTTCCTTCTTCAAGCTTCTCCTCTTAATACTTTTTCTGACTAACACGACTACTCTACAAGCTTTTCTTACATACAATGCGCTGCCTTTTCAATGAAGAATAGCACCTGCTTGAGCACACTTTTAACTCCAGCTAAAATACCAAATGTTGTATGTCTTTTAGGGTAGCATGTGGTCGATGTGTGTACAGTAATTCTGTGTTGTTGTTTTTCATCCACAGATCTTAATTCATTCCAGCAAACCTCAAAGTGGATTGATGATGTTAGAACAGAGAGAGGAAGTGATGTCATTATCATGCTTGTTGGGAACAAAACAGACTTGGCGGACAAAAGGTACATGGTTGTGTGAGATGTGTGAAAGATTGTAATTATTTTTCTTATTCTAGTTACAGTGGCTGATGAATAGACTGCGCTTTTATATTTTTACTACAATTAGAAAATTCAAAGCATTAAATATTTTAGTATATATACTGCCAAAGCCTGGAATCCCACTTTTCTTCCCTTCAGTGCATCCCATCCAGTTTTGACTTTAATCATCCCATGGCACTTTACATACTCCAGCCTTTTTTATTAGTGATTTTAGTGACTTTATTTGTATTTTTTTTTCTTATGATTTTATTACATTTCTGTTCTGCCTTTTTTCTTTACTTTTTTTTTTTTGTTTCCTTTCCTGCTCTATTCTCTCCATGTCATTTTTATTTTATTTATTTTTTTGTGTGTTTTTTTCCCCCTCAACACCACACTCCGCACCACTCCCTCCCCCTCCCTCCCCGGGACCATGGCAGGCAAGTTTCTGTTGAGGCGGCAGAGAGGAAAGCTCGTGAACTCAATGTGATGTACATAGAGACCAGTGCCAAGGCGGGCTATAACGTCAAACAGGTTGGTGTCCAGCAACAGCAAGTTGTAATACTGACAAATAGTCCTGATGTCCTTTAGGTTAGGGAGGCCTAGCTATGCCGCCTGGGATGTACAACTCCTCCATGTATTCGTTATACGGATCAGAGTGTGGCTGATGAATGAATGAGTGAACTCTGGAGTCGTTCTCCCGCTGCTTCATCTTTACTCAGCAGCTTCTCTCCCTTTGTCTTCCTCTCTGTCTGTCCGTGTTATAACTAAACTAACCTCTCTCTCTTCTTCACCAAAAAAACAACAAGAGTCTGTGTTGAGCTGTCCTTTGTTTCTCTCTCTCTCTCTCCATCTCTTCCCTCTCCTTTTGGCCTGTCCTCTTTGCGATGTTTCTTTCCATATCTCTCCGTTTGTCCATACCCCCCCCCCCCCCCACTTCTACCTGAGCAGACAGATCACCACGGAGGAGGGTGAGCAGAGAGCTAAGGAACTGAATGTCATGTTCATTGAAACCAGCGCAAAGACTGGCTACAATGTCAAACAGGTAGAGATTCTGCTCTCTCAAGGTGGTTTCTGCCCTCAAAGTCTACACTTAACTCTTTCTGCCTTCTTTCCCCCTCTTGTGACTCGTCATGATTTGTCTTGGTATTCCTAGTACCTCCTGTATCGGTTGTCTTCCCCCCACCACAGGCTTTGCTGTTAGATTTCTCTATATTCACTTGGTCTGCACGGGTTTACTGCTACTGTGCGTATTTGTTCTCAAGTCCTCTTTTTGTGTCTGATCCACTAAAAACTTCTGCAGCTTTTCTAAATGTGTCTGACTTTAATGCTCAGTGGAGGAGTTTAGCACGGTAACGTTTGATTTCATGCTGTTATCTCAACCAGCAATTACAATCACATGTTGTGTTACTGCTTTAACTTATTGTGCCTGTTATTCAATGAAATACATTATTTAAATGACTGCTTTGATCACTTTCTGTCTGTACTGTATATATCCCATGTGACAGTAGGGGTGGTGTGTGTGTGTGTGTGTGTGTGTGTGTGTGTGTGTGTATGTGTGTGTATGTGTATATATGTATGTATATATGTATGTATATATATATATATATATATATATATATTAATTACTGTGAGGCAATAGAAATATGTCCATCATCAGAGATGTTTCTGTTTATACTGAGGTAACTATTCCTTCAATATTGCTGGTTGTATTTGGCCTTTTGTGGGGAATGGAGCAAGTGACTGAGCAAGATTGCATTATGGGAAAAGGGGGATTTACAGGATTCTTTTCATCAATGTGATTATTACCCCAGGATAGACACAAGTAGACATTACTGACTGATTATTTTATGTATAAACTTTACATTTACTATGTCACAATATAATATATGCACATACACTGTGCTAGAGGTTTTTATCCAGATCACTCGCCCCTATTTGACAGCTTGTTTTTCTTGTACTACAGCTTTAACACTTGTGTTTAATTGTTGAATCTTCTGACTTTGTTTTACAGCTGTTCCGCCGTGTTGCCGCTGCATTGCCTGGGATGGATAGCACACCGGAGAAGAGCAAAGAGGACAGTATCCTTTTCAAAGCTGTGTTCAACAGAAATTGCCTCACTATTGTGCACTTCTTATTGCCACCATGGCTTTAATACTGTCAAATAGAAAAGCTGGTAACAAAATACATCCAAGTTTACTCGTGTGTGTTCGCCGAGAAGATGGCAGCCAGATAGCGCTGCAGAAAATGCTGAAGTGAAATTTGCAGGTTCATTGACGATGTTACTTAACACATTTATCTCAGTGATCGACATCAATCTGGAGAAACAGCAAGAGATGACTGTCACCGAGAGCAGCTGCTCATGCTAGTACACCTCACCCAGCCTGTCTCCTCCCCACCAACAGCTTGTCTCTCAGTGGCCACTCTCTCCGCCCTCGGCTCACTCCCACTGGGGTCGGAGGACATGTCTCTTTATTTCCCTTTTCAACTCAGTGACTTTTCAGAGTAACCGTGTGGGTGTGCATTACTGTATTGAAACAGATTATCTGGGGGGGATGGTTCAAAAGTAAACATTTAAAACAAGGAATAAGTTAAATGATATGATCAGATCTTCATCCAGTTGCATGGCATTCTATAGGATAGCAGACTGACATAGCTAACCGCTCGTGAGTTATTGCACAGTTCGGATTCTTAGTGCTGTTACTCTTGTCATTGTTGTAAAGTAAAACTGCTTGGGATTATTTAAATGACTCTGCAAGGTTGAGTTCTCAACCTATCGTATTTCACTTTTTATTTTATTTTAAACGGGAGAGTTTGCCTCCAACTATTCTGTCTCTCAGATGACTTATTGTTTCTTGACTTTGTCTTATTCTGAGGAAGTAGATACAGGATCTTACCAGTGAATTTACGGCATCGCTAATCATTTTACCACATTAGGCTCAAATGGAAGAGGGTCATTCATTTGGGTATTATTTATACCGGACACATTTTAAACTGCCAAATACAACAGTATTATAATAATACAATACAACATCAGCAGACCAAATATACATTATTTGAGACCTCATTTAAAACAGTGCAAAAGGGATGCGTAACCAAACAATGAGGTAATAGATCATCAAAGGGAAACTGTCCCAAGTTCACTAGACTGGCTACTAACCTGAAGCTATGTCTGCATTCAAACTAAAGCAACGGTCTTTCCCCAAGTTGTTAAATTAGCTACATGCATACTAACATGTCTGATGAGTTTTCATTTATAAGATGCCCCTAAAAACACACACATACATATATA